GGGCCCGTGAGCCGCGGCCGCTGAGCTTGCGCGTCCGGCAACGGGAAAGGCCACGACAGGGAGAGGCCCACATAACCCAAAAAAAAAAAAAAAAAAAAAAAGACAGGGCGTCCCACACCATCCCCTCTTCTCATCTCAGGTTGGGTCCCCTGAAGTGGGGAGAGGCGTAGGTAACCAAAGGGGGCTGAAGGTGCCAGGTGAGGGCTAATTGTGCAAGCTCTTTTCCATCCCTACAGGTATGCAGTCCCCCTACTGGAGTGAGCTCCCAAAATGGAGAGACAAATCCCGCCTTCAGAATAGCTGAATATCTGATACTTGGAGGAGATGAGATTTTCAGCGGGGAATCACTGATCCTTTGTCAAAAACCACCAGGACAGCCAAGGGGAGGATTAGGGAAACACCCTTGTGACAGCCGCATGGACCCTCATGGCATGGGTTCCAGCCCCTTCACACGTCCATCAGACCAGACCTGGTTCCCTCCCTGAGAAAGGCAGCCTGGAAGGAGGAGGAATAGGGATCTAAGGAAGGTCTAGGATAAGGACGTGCGATGGTGTGCATTGCACTTCTTTTTTCAGTGCTTTTGTTGCTCCGCCTTGTCTAAATAGGGGTCCTTGTGTCACAGTCCACACTGTGGGCCATGGAACCCATCTCAGTTCAGCCCTGCACCCCCCTGTAAGACCAGCAAGGAGGGCCAGGGCTTTGCAATCTCACAAGCTCTCTGACATTCTGGAGAGGATTCCTGGGGCTGAGTCCAAACCTCCTGAACACATACCCCCAAGGCATAAAGTGAATCAATGATACTTTATTTGATTTCAGTTTGCTTGGTGTGACTGGCTGGGTGTCTGTGTGTGTATGTGAGTGTTTACGTGTATAAATAATAATTTGAAAAACAGGAGTCTTCAGATTAAGCATGAAGCTCTAGCATGCATTCAAGCAGGTGAACTTTTCAACTATGATTTTAAGGAAAAAATAATCAATGGAAATTCTTGTTTCCAAGATAAATCAAAACCCGGTTTCTTTGTTCTCTGACAGGATCGCATTCCAGCCAAGGTCTACTGAGTTGGCACCTAGGCTCATGAGTCAGGCTGGTAGTCACCCTCCACTGTCAACACATACCTTCAGGCAAGAGGGGCCTTTATCTCCCCTGTCCATTTCTATCCTGGGGGAGAGGGAGACTGGACATGGGAAAGATACATCTGAACAGGTGGACAGAGGCAGAGCAGGGGGGACTGAAAACTCCCAGCTGTTCACACCCTCCCCAAAGTGAGGGTTTTTCACAGCTGCATGTGGGTCATAAGGCACTGAGAGGCCACTCAAGGAACAGGACACAGACGTGAGATAATGAGCCCTGTTCCTCAGCCATAAGACTTGTTCCTTTCTTCCTAATATCCCCAGAGAACTAAGTAACGTCCCAAGAGAAGCCTGGGGACTGAGGTGGGATGGGTGTCCCCGGTGACACGAGAACCCCTTTCGCCACTCTATTTCCCTCTCCCTGATGCACCCCCTCCCCACACTGTCCCCAACTCCCCCCACCATGCACCCCAGTCTTGGGTCACAGGGCCTTAGCAGGCCGTGGGGCGCCCCAGTACATCATGAGATCCACCAGGAAGGTGGGCATGTAGCTCACGGGGAGGTAGAAGAACTTGGCGTCCCAGCCAGCGGAGTACCGGGTGCGGGGGTGGCAGGAGGTCAGGGCATGCTCCATGCAGTTGGTCATCAAGGACAGATTCCCGGACCATGATGGCTTCAATAAATTCGATGTCTTCATGACTGTCCAGAAGGAGACACCATCCAAAATATTCTCATTTCCCAATGCTCCCACTTCCAGATCAACATGACAGTTTCTAAGAATTCCTTTCTCTTCCAAAATCATACTCCAAATCAAATCCATGGATTTCCTTGGAGTGTGTCCTAACACTTACCCCAGGATCTCTATCCACACTAAGCCCCCTCTGGATCTATTCCTGGGAATATGTGCACTACATAAACTGGAGGTCTTTGCAAACACTAGAAATTGAGGCACCTGAAAAAAGCTGGTTCTAACACCAGCTTACCGTGATTCCACGGGTGTCTTCCCTCTCTGGCTTCAGTTTCCTTCCCAAATTAAAAGAGTTTCGGAAGAGAAACTGGTCCCCAGGTCTATCAAACCTGAATCCTTTCCTTGGGTCACCAATTGACCACACAGGACCCTGGGGATGGAGTTCATGTCCCCACTATGTGGGTGACTCAGAGCCTGGAGGATGGACCTGAGACTGGAGGAGGTGCTAATGATGGACCCAGGCTACCAGACAAGGGTTTGCTTCTCTCCCCAAGGTCTCACTCACAGTCAGCCATGAACTTCTCTCCATAGAGTTCCTTGATCTCTGTGCTGGCCTGATCCCATGATGCCTGGAGGCTTCCATTAAACACCTCAGGGCTGGTCATATTGGTCATGAAGTAACCAGGCTCAATCATCGCCACCTTCACTCCGAAGTAGGAGAGCTCCCTCCTGCAAGGGAGACAGGCAGAGGGGCAAGGACTTCAGAGGTCTTCTTGCAAAACAAAACATGAAAGAACAGTAAGACACCAACATAGGATTGGGGTGGGATACACTGGAATTTCTTAGAGGTTGTGAGGTACAGAAGCCAGGGGGAGAAAACTCAGGATGACAGTATTGCTTCTGTATAGAGTGTGAATATTTTTCCAATTATTTTACATACCTGTGCCTATCAGCTCTAAATCCTACCAGTTGTGCTACAAGGCATCGTTTAAATGTTATCTCCTATTCCTCTCACCTCCAATCAATCACCATACTTTGCACGTTTTATCTTTCCCATACTCCCCAGTCCCCTCTCTCCCCTCTCCTACCCTGCTAACCCCCTGGCCACCTGTCCTCTAGGGAGCATCTCTCTGCCCACGGTATCAGATCCCCCACATCAGAGCCACTCTCTCCCTGCAGCCCGTGGAGTCTCCACACTGATTTGATTAAGTAGCTCCCTGGATTAATGGCTTCATGGGGTACACTCCTCACAGGGCTCCCAGAACCTAAATACCGCAGCAGTTGAGCACATGGAAGGGCTGCACAGCCAAATAATATCAGGTCCAATTCTGCCTCCGACACTTTGGTGACCGTGGACCCTCACACAAGGCAGGAATATGTTGAATCATATTAGGCCTCACACCCACCTGGACACCCAAAAGATAAAAGGGTGCTTCCCAGTGAAAGACCTACACAGAGCAAGAGAGAGGGATCTAGAAGGAAGGGCCATTAGGTCTCTAAAGAAAGAAAACCCCTGTAGAAGGCACCCCCCAGAAGCATAGAAGCAGGAGGACAGAAGAAGGGCCTCCATTCCAGGCCATTACCTGAGGGAGTCTGAGAAAGCCTCCACGCCGTATTTGGACATGCAGTAGCCTCCACCAAAGAGGGACACGCGGCCCATGACGCTGGAGACATTGACCACACGGCCCCTCGCCTTCCTCACTAGGGGCAGCAGACTCAGGGTCACCTCAATCATCCCCAACAGGTTCACGTCGAGCATCTTTACGAAGTCCTGTTTGGTCAGCCACTCATTGGGTGCCATGGGAGTGCAAATGCCGGCATTATTCACCAGGCCCCAGAGTCCTGGGAACAGTGAGGGCGAGAGGGCAACACCATGCTGGGCCCATGAGTGAGGACCCAGCGGAGGTTCCAAGTCACCTTCCACCCAGTGAGGACTTTAGGAGAGAGGCTGCAGGGGGAACGGCTGGAACAGAGACCAACATGCTGCCTGCGGGTTTGGGGAGACCAGACCCTGTAAGCCGTTGGAGGACAGAAGGTGCACCACCCTCCTGACTCAGTCTTCGCGCCCAGCCCACTGCCTGGTGACAAGGGGCAAGCACCCCAGATTTGATGAACGCAGGGACTGAGGTTGAAGAAATCTAGTGTGTCCATAGTCTGGAACTTGGAGGGTGAAGTTTTGTGTTTTCACAGTCCATGTTGTCCTTGCAGACATTATCAATATTCACCTACATTTTCAGATTTTCTGACAGCTGCAGGACTGAGTGCCCAACAACTAGCTAGGAAAGAGAGGGAAATATAGAGAGACAATGAGGAAGGGAGGGGAAGGGAGGAATAAAAGAGACAGTGGATAAAAGGCAAAAAAAGATGAGAAATATCTGGGTGGAGATTGGCTGGGGAAAACAGACCTGAAATCCCAGGTTTGGGAGAACATGTTGACAGGCCTGGTATTGACCTCTGGGGCCTGGCCTTGAAATACCCGCATCAATACTGAGCAATGTTCTTGCAGGAATCTGGGGAATTCCATGGGGGTAGGCTTTCAGGGGGAGGAAGGGCTGCCTCTGTTTACCCATCACCCCCAGAGCACAGAGTTCACCCCCTACCCCAGAAAATTCCATCTTCTCCTGCCACCCACACAGGAGTCCACTCTAGCCCCATCTCCTTGGTGCAGATTCACCCAACTTAATGGAGACCTCTCTGCCAGTATCAAAGACACAATCCCAAGGTTTTAAAGACTGGTAACCATAGGCCTCAGGGTGGCAGGAGCAGGCTATTGAGGGATGGGGTAGGGCTGCCAGAAGTATCCACACGGAGAGTTGAGTTCCTCCCCTACTCAGTAACACGTGTGCCTTGTAGGAAGAATATTCTCCAACCATTGTCATCAAAGGCACAATCAACATATGCGGTTATAGTGTAGGGAACTGGGTAGAAAGAAGTTTGCCAAGATATCATTTATGTTGAATATGATGAATAAAAGGTAGGAAATAATTATGTATCATACCATGAGGTACTTTTTAGTAAGTAATGCTATTCTAAAGGGTAGTATATTCTCAATCATAATTTATTAATTTTTGGAAGAAATTTTTATTATGTTGTAAATCAGTACATCCTTCTTTAGTGGAAAGAAAACTAATATGTGCAAAATATAATACTATGTACGTCAAAATATTATCAGTACTTATCTCTGGGTGGTGAGATTTTGAGAGTGTTTGGTTTTAATCCCTGCACTTTTCTGAGTTTCCACAATGATCATGTTTTAAATTATACTTAGATGAAAGAAATTCAAGTTCTCTCCTTCCCCTGTAAAACAAAGGCACAACTGTAGTAATTAAAAAAAAAAAAAAAAAAAAAACAAAGCAGGAAAAGAAAAGAAGAAAAACAGAAAACAAAGAGAGAGAGAGAAAAAGTAACCCTTAAGTAGTTTTCTGACCTTCCTTAGACAAGTCCTGACAGCTCAGTGTTGTCATCTGAAAATTGGTGACATTTAAGCCCAAGTAGGAGGACTATGGGTCACCAGCAAGAACATGATCAAGTGCTGAGAACACAGCCCAGCTCCAGGGCTGCCCCCCAGCCCCCCAGGCAGCCTTCCAGCCAGAGTGCCCATCTCCACCCGTCCTCCAAAAAGCGCACACCGATCACCCTGGTCACTCAGCATCAAGGAACCCAGACCTCCTGCTGAGGGAGGAGGGGGACACCAGACAGAAAGTCTGCAAGGACACATTCTCATCAGGGAAAACTCTCCCCTAAACTGCAGAGCCTCAAGGTTGGGAGGTGGAGGTGGGATGGAAGAGGCTTTGCTGGCAAGCTGGGTGAGGAGAACACAGGGAGGACTTCAAGTCCTGGAAAACACCTTGGGAATCTCCCCAGGCAGCTGTCAAGGGGTCTCCACTTCACACAGAGAGAAGAAATAAACAGAAAAAAGAAATCTGGGTGGTACCTCTGTCCCTGACACGCTCCTTCACCCACTCGGTGGCCGCAGCGATGCTCTCAGTCTTGGTGACGTCCAGGATCACTGTCTCCAACCTGTCTGATGTCTGGCCCTTCAGCTGCTCGGCCCCCTGCTCCGTCAGACACGTAGCCAGCACCCTCAAGCCTCGCAGGTCCAGCTGCCTGGCCAGCAGGTTCCCGAAGCCCGAGTCACAGCCCGTGATGAAGACGAACTTGTCCTGGAGGTGGCTCACCACCTGCCTCTCCCGGTACCAGCGCAGGAGGTAGTACAGGCCCACGAGGACCGCCAGGTACAGCCACATGGCTTTGCAGGGGACAGACACAGGCAGGCTGGGGTGAAACTCGAGTCTGGCTAGTGTTGAGACAGGAGGACTTAAGAACACGCACGATGTTGATTGGCCAACCAACCTCCAGGATCTCTGGCATGGAGTCCTCAGGATTTTCCTGTTCACCCTCTTTAGTGACTATTATTGATTCTAACCCCAAATGCATGCAATTTGGTACGCTCACAGCATTTCTAATACATGGCATTGCGTTTCCAACACAACTTCTTAAGGATGACAATACTTTTCCAGCCACCTCTTCCTGGTGCGCCCACTCCTCCCTGTTTCCCTCTACCCACCTCTCCCCTCTCCACCCCACCCCCAAACGTTGTAACCCTTATATCCCAGGTTTCACGGTTCACAACTATCTTCTTCCCTTTTTCCTGCTCAGCCTGGGACCGGGGTCTCCCTTACCTACTGGAGATTCTTACAAGGGGAATACACGTGGAATCAAGACACAAGTGGCTTCAAAACCCAGCTCTGCTGCCAACCAGCTGTGTGACCTTGGGCAGCTGGCTAAGCCTCTGAGCCTGGTCTCCTCCTCTGGCTCAGCTCCCAGAATTCACTCCTGAAAGACTAAGTCCCTCTCAGCCTCTCTAGGACTAGAAGGGAAGGCAAACGAGGATAAGGTCTCTCCTGAAGAAGTGGTTCCCTGGGCCTGAAAGCTGTTCAGGAGAACAGCGGGGGTGTCTGATCTCAGAGGCAAGGAGAGGGACAAGAAGGGAATGGGGGCGACACACGCAATGGTGAGACGTCTCCCAGATGCCGGGCCAGTTGTTGGAAGGACTCACACAAAGCTGGTCTAACAGTTGTTCCCCTTTCACTCTGTGAAGATGCCCTGCCCACAGCCCTGGGGGCCCGGCTACATTGCCCTCTGCCCCTCCTGTGCTGAGTGAGGCCCTGCCCTGCCCGGCACCACACCCGGAATCCAGACCATTCAGACACTGAGAAAAGACTGATTTGAACAGGGATCATGGGATGGGGTGTGCGAACCTCCCCCGATCAGGGAGTGCTGTAAAGCCCAATAATTGGAGAGAATCAGGTCAGTTGTATCAGGGTGATGATGGAGAAGAGGAGGGAGCTGCCCCCTCAGGAGATTAAAGAAATGACCAGAGGCTGGACCCCAGAACAGCTGTGCATGCAGGGACTTTCACCGTGAAGTGGAGGATACCATTCAGTAACGGGGGTGGACCCATCAGGGGCACAGAGCTGGTGAGTGGGGCAGGGACAGAAGGAGCCTGGCTCAGTGCGCTGGGCATCTCCTGACAGTCCACATTTACTACAGCTCCGACTGGTAAGTAAGGAAATACGAGAGGCACTGGGAGGGAAGGAGAGGCTTCCCCAAGCAAACAGAGGCTCAGATGCCCCTGGAACCCACCCCAGCAGCCAACAAAGACAGACAGGGGCACAGATTCAGCCTTTAGTGGTAACTGTCAAGTGCAGGGAGCTGACTGTAGTCCTGAAAGTGTTTGTCCCTCAGGTGGGAGTTGGCAGCAGTAATAGAAAGGCTCGTCTTGCAGACCAGCCTGTGGCTGCTTCCTGCGTGACCCCCAGGACCCTCCTACATGGGCTTCCCAAAGGGTGAGGACAAAGAAGGCCAGGATGAAGGATGGTGCCCTGGAAACTGTCAGGAAGCCGGGCGGCAGGCGAATCCTAGGCAAACACAAGCCCTGCTAAGGGAGAAGGTTTGGTTTCTTTACTTGGAAGAAACAAGAGGGTCTTTTCGTCAGTGACCACGAATTCCTTCAGCCATAAACTCCCATGGGGCCATGCAGCAGACACGTCCCAGCCCTCATGCCATCTGCTTCCCTCTTGTGAACCCTGAAAGTAATATGACTGCTCGCGGGGGTCTCAGGAGCTTCCGACTACATTCCGGGTGGGAACAACCACAGGAAGGTCAGGAGAGAGCAGTAAGAGAAAGGAGCCTGGGGTGACACTCACTCACCTGGGAGCTGCAGGGGCCAGAAGAAGAAATCCTTCAGAGGCGACCCTGTCAGGGAGACTCTGACAAAGATCTCTGCACCTTATGTCCTGGGAAGGGCAGTTGGGCCAGATTCCAGGACCACACCTGTGACCCTCATGTGAGCTGGAGCTGACGCACACACCCTCCGGCGTAGCCCAACAGCATCTCAGTGGGGACCACTGTCAAGTGTAAGAGTCCATCTCCCACCCACTCCCTCTTCTCCACCCAGGACCAGTCCTCTGAACAGGGGGAGGTGTAGGTAACACCTGGGGGAGCTGGAAGGGGTAGAGAGTACGGGCTAACTGTGCAAGCTTGTTTCCATCTCTACACGTATGCAGTTCCACTGTCTGGAGTGGAGACCCAAAAATGTAGAAACAGACCAGGGCCTTCAGGTGTTGAAGTTCTGGTGCTCAGAGGAGATGAGGGTTGCAGGTGGGGAGTCACTGACCCTAGCGACTCACA